AATAACCCTCATAAATCCTTCCATCTTTCCAATAATATTTTGCATATCCATGATATTTATCATCTTTTAACTCACCTATGTAGTAATCTCCTAACCATTATTCATCACCTAATATAAATCTTCCATATCCATCTCTCTTATCATTCTTCCACAATCCATCATATACTGCTCCATCACTCCTAATAAATCTACCTATTCCATCTCTTTATTTAGTTATATTATCATATTCACCTTGATACATACCATTTGTTAATTCAACAAGTGGCATGAAGATTCTGTTTGGATTGGGGTGAATCTTTTCAATTGCTCCATAGTTGAACTCTCCTAGTTTTGCGATAATTTCATTAACAGCAGTAATATGTGATTTAATTGTCAAAGCAAATGCATTTTTGCAATCATCATTAGTAGAACTTTGCTGAATATGCTTTTCTTCTTCTCTTTCTAAATGCTTGATTAAAGGCTCATTTCTAAGTTTACAAAGTTCACAGAGCACTTATAGGGAATCTAATCTCTAGGCAGGATTGAATTAAAGCATTTTGTTAAGAAGCTGTTCGAATATCTTCTATTGACCATCAAGATTGATAAGCACTGCTTAATCTTGTTGCTTTAACTCTGATATTATCTTGCCTTAATATTGATATTTCTTAGTACATAAGTAGTAGAGAATCATTCCGAGGGACCATATGTCAACTTAGCTGCTGTAACTGAAATCTTCGCTTAGTTCTATTTCTGGAGCTTTAAAATATGGTTTTCCAACAAAAATGTTAGAATTCGACAACATATGTGACAATCCATAGTCGCATATTTTAAACTATTCGCCATTTTCAAAAACTAAGATGTTATCTGGACTGAGATCTCTGTGCATAAGATTTTGGTTATGAAGGTGTAATGTTCCTTTTACTATCTGGATCATTATATTAGCAATCTATGCATTAGTCAGTGCAGTGTTTTCACTGTAGGTGCAAAGGTTTGACTCCGCGAGTTCTGTAATTATCACGAATTGATCTTCAAAGGTGAAGTAAGATTCATAGAATTTGGTAATGTTTGGATGACTTAGTTTGAATGTGTTGATCTCTCGGATGATGCGGACCATCTCGTTACTGTAGTTATTAGGTATTCTAGTCATTAAATTCTTCAAATTTTAGACTTTCATTGCGTAAAATTTGTTATCCACTGTATTCTTTACTTTTTATACTGAACCGAATGCCCCAGAATCGATATTTGCTTCAAATTGGTATTTATCCCACAGCGGCTTGACTGAGAGAGCAACGTATTTCTCCATCTTAATTTGGATATGAACCTTTAATTTAATACT